TATTTCAAGTGGCATAAAAAGTCTTAAAAAGTCTTGAATTTAACTTGCCTTATGCTGTAGGAACCCTGTCTATCCAGAACTCCTTAAGTGGAATTGCTTTAGTTTCACCTGATTTAAGAACTATTTTCTATCTGATTACTAATCGACTAATTTAAAAAAATGTTCAACAGATTGATTAATTAGCAAAATAATCATTAGTTGCAGGACAAATTCCATCCTGAAACCAAACATGTAACTGACTGCATTCATTAAATCAAAGATTTCCTTTCCTGCAGTTCTAAAGATTTTTAATCTGATTTAAATTTCTCATAGATAAAGCTCGAACTCATTGCTTATTTTTACAGATATGTTATATAGAATGGTCTTCAGAATCAGAAGAAATGCAAAAATGAATATTATAAATAATATTTTTTTTTTGCTGATATCTACTATTCTTTAATTTTTTTTTTTTTTTTATTGTGCTGCCTGGGATAATTTCATTGTACGAACTGTAAAGTGATATTTACCAAAATCTAAGTCTGACTGTAACTTTTCTCAAAGGTTTTGGGTCCTTTGTGGAGAAGACAGTCATGCCTTACATCAGCACCACTCCAGCCAAGCTGCTAAACCCTTGCACCGGCGACCAGAACTGCACCAGTCCGTTCAGCTACAAGAACGTGCTGCCACTCACTAGCGACGGAAACATGTTCAACAACCTGGTGGGTGTGCAACAGATCTCTGGGAACCTGGACTCTCCTGAAGGGGGCTTTGACGCCATCATGCAAGTGGCTGTCTGTGGGGTAAGCAAAATGATTCTCTACCATTCTCCCATCTCTTAGGAAATATCCACTCTGAGGTTTTAGGGTATTTTATTCCCCCGTTCCGTAAATTTCACCACTTGCTTGCAGCTACGCCTCACCAGATGTAACCAGTAAAGTTTATGGGCTGATTTCTTTCAGGAAACTTATTTTTAATGAGTCGTCTCAGCTCGCTGGGAGATTTTGGCTTCATATCAAAACCTCATTTGTATCTTTTTAAGCTGCTCATATAACAAGTTTCCTGGGATATAAGTGATCGCAGATCACTGTTTTTAAATTAATATTTTTTTTGTTTCAGGAGCAGATTGGCTGGAGGAATGTAACCCGCCTGCTGGTGTTTTCCACTGACGCCGGGTTCCACTTTGCTGGGGATGGCAAGCTGGGTGGCATTGTGCTGCCCAACGATGGGAAATGCCACCTAGAGAACAACGTTTACACAATGAGCCACTACTATGTATGCTTATTTTACTGCTTAGGCAATATTTATATGTTTTCTGTGAAGTGTAGTTAAAGATCCAACTCTGTTCTAATTTAAGGACTACCCCTCCATCGCTCACCTGGTTCAGAAGCTGAGCGATAACAACATTCAGACCATTTTTGCCGTTACAGGAGACTTCCAGCCGGTTTACCAGGTCAGCTCACATCAGCCTCTTTCTGTTCCATTTGAAGAAATAAATCTGAGATTTAAACTGAATGAAACTACAAATAATCACAAACTGATGCTATATGTTAATCTGGTCAACGTCTAATTCTGTATTTGAAGCATAATTCTGCATAAATTTGGAGAGTTTGCATGGGTGCTTAAAGTCCTTTACTAAGCTGAAATTTAATATTAATTTATCTACATATAACTGTAAATAGGAGGAAAAGAAAACCTGCATTTTTGTATTTATTTATTTATTCTTTTTAATTTAGAAAGACATTACATCCATTACACTTTAGTAATCACACCTTCATCCATTTAAGATTATAACTGAAGATATAAGCAGAAAGTCCAAGTGATTTTGTCCATGTTGCCTCTCTGGTATTTTTAACAGAATATCCATAACTTAATTGTAAAGATAACAAAAAACGAACAGAATTAAACAGTAATGGGGATTGCACCACCTCGAGTAATAAAAAAACCACAAAGACATAAGAGG